AGGTCCTACTATAAATTTACATATGCTTTGAGAAATTATCATAAAATAAACGTATTTTAATTTGTAGTAATTCGGATTCAAATAATTTGCAATAATTATTGAATTTTAAAATTTTGTTTGAATTTTCCGATAATTAAAAGAAAGATCAAAATTTATTGTTATTTTATTAACTTCAATTTCAGTTGACAAGATGAAATTTTGTTAAAGAGCATAGTTAACCATTTCATTTTTTTTTAAATTGTGTTAAATTTTTGATTTTAATAAGAGGGCAGCCAAATATTAATTGAATTTCGTTCGATTTTCATTAAAATTTAAGGAATTATAACAATAGAATATTTTTATTTTCAACTTCAATATAATTCAATAAAATTGAAATTAAAACCTGAAATTAAATTGAAATTGAAATTTAAAAAAAATTAAATTGAAATTGAGTTAGATGGTTTCTACAAGTGCAACTGTGGCAGAACAATAATTTCTAACTCAACTTTTTTGTGGAAAAATATTTCAAATTGAATCCAAAAATTATTTTTTTAATGTACATGTGTGTAGGTATATATAAGCAATAAAAAAAAACTTGAACATGAAAAATACAAAAATATTGACTTGACGATTTATAAATCATAAATTTATGTTATTTTACTTGTTATACATTTACATATGGATAAAGTTGTATGTATATGCACATTAATGGTACAAGTATACACAGAGTGTATATAAATAATAGGAGTATATTTAATCGATATAATTTCATGATGCAATGAGTTTAATTATAGAAAGAAAGAAATAAAGAAGAAAATCATGTCATTATTCATTTTCAAATTTTTTGTTTTTCCATTAGTTTTTCACTTCATATACATACATATATGTATGTGTTTCTTTCTTTTTTATCATTAAATATTTATTCAATTTAAGTGTTTATAATTAAGTAATTTTCATTTTATTTCAATATATTTTCGATTTGTTGTACAATTTCTTAACGTATTTCAATTTTTAAATAAACCTTAATGTTAATCGCTTTATTTCAGAATTAAATGCGATGAAAAAAATTTTTGAAGAAATTTGTAATTTTCGTTTACAATTCGATTATTTTATAAAAAAAATTCTATAAAGTGTACATTTTATATCTAGTTTCCATACTAACTTTATTGTAATTTGAATCAAATATTTTTAATGGAAAGAATTTGTAATATTAAAAGTCTATATATTAGTTTTATTTAATGTAAAATATTCGCAGTGCAAATTTAAAATGAAATATACTACTTATGTGTTTTGAAATACTTCAAATACATTATATGATTAATTTGAAATGCATTTTATAATTGCAAATTCAAAAGCATATTTGAATTATTATGCTGTATACTATGTGCATTTTACAGGCAATTAAAAATGTTTACTGTTTCATCTTGAATTAAAAAAGCTAAGGGAAAATAAGTGAAATTTAAAATTGTTTAGAGTAAAACTTGTTCTGTATTTTAATAAATTTTAAAATATTTACTTTTTATTGAAATTTTTTTAATTTTTTTTATAAATTTACAAATTTTGAAAACATTAAAAAGAGAATTTTTTATTGTTTTGAATTTACTCCTTAAATTATTGATTCTTATTTTTTTTCTAAAATGTTGTTTGATATCTTTTTATATTTGCATGGGTAGTTCTTATCTCTTTTGATTTATGTTTAATTATTATAACTGTTTATATGTGGGATATAGCGTTAATAATTCAATATAATTTTTGGTTCATAAAGTGGGAAGTGTCTGCATAAGAAACTAAATTATATTGATTTAATATTAATGTTAAAAAATTACTGATTCTATAATTAATAGGAAAAGCAAAAAATTAAAAATTTTAAATGCTGCTTAAGATTTAGTTGGGGTCAGATGTTTTTTCAAAAGTTAGTAATTTTCTTTTTCAATTAAAATGAGTTTCTAGTAAAAGGGAAAATATTTTAAATTTTACTCAAAGTTAAATTATATTTTCCATTTTATTCAATTTATATTAGAATTTTTTATATTTTAATAAAAATTCAAAATTTAACTATCAACTTGCTTGCTTATTTAAAATAATTTAGGAAAATTGAAATTTAAACTTTTTGTACTAGTCCTCTTTATACCTAAAATCCTCTTTATACCTTTATAACTCGAAAACTAATTGAGCTAAGCTCATCAAATTTTCACAAATGAATTATTATAGTAAATGCCAGAACCCTATTTAAATTGGATATGATCAAGGTTGATTGTAGTAACTGCCATACTATTACAAAATTTTTTTTCGACAAATAAATATTTATCCAAATATTATAATTGGATACTTAAATTTATAAGCTGCCCTGAAACTATTAAAGCTACAGAGCTGAAACATAGGCCAAACAAATTTGGTAATGTGGCCATCATTTTTGTAAAACACTTTAAAATTGAATGGGCTTATGTGGTAACTAACATGCATTTGTTAGATTGCATTAGACACAAAAAGCAAGGGGTTATATGAAAGTGTATATCAACTATTTCCGACTTTTAAAATTATTTATTCATACGGGTAAATAGAGTTGACACGTTCAACTATATCTATTCTTGTTTTCTGCAGAAGTTCTGTGAATTGATCCTTTAAAAAATTCCTAAAAATATTAAAAGCATTTGATAGAATATTTTATTTTTTATTTTTTCAGTTAATTAACAATTTGAAAGGTATCTCCTATACAAAGAAATTTGGTTCTAGAAGAGCTGAAAAATCACATAAAAAATTAATGAAAATTGGTTAATTTAATGGTAATTAAAAATTAAGTTGATAAATGGTAACTTCAATGAGTTAGTATTTTCTTGTACTTTTTAGTGACAGAAGCAATGAATCTAAATCTTTGAGAAAAAAGTTTTGTTTTAGAGAAATCTTCTTATACAGCAAGTTTTATTTGTCTAGAAAATTTCAGCTTCCTATAGCGTTGTAATGAATCAAGCTCTTTTCTAACATTAATAATTTAAAAATAATTAAAACGTTAGTTCCTTGGTATTTAAGAAGTTAGTCAAATAGTAATTGTAAAATTTTAGTTAGTTATCTTAAAGCGGTGAAACCATTAACATTTTAAGCCTGTTTTCTTTTTTTATAATAATAAAAATGCCTAAATTTAAAAAAAAATACAATTGTGTTTTTAAATTTAGGCATTTGCATTAATATGGAAATATTTATAAATTTTTTAATGTACGTAACCTATCCAAAAACATTCACCTTCTCAGTAATAAACTAAGTATTTAAAGAAATTTTTTTTTCTTAATTAAATTTTTCAATTATACACGAGTTTATTTTTCTTAGAAAATTTGCTTAAATTTTCATGTTATAACATTCTAAAAAGTTTCTAATTCTTATGTTAATAAAGTTTTCATTGAAAAATTCGATTTAAATAACGGTATTTTCGTTCAAGAATTTTTTTTTTGCTTTTGTATCCTTGCTTTTCTTTCTTTTTAGTTTTAATTTTCAATTAAAAGTTTTCAACCTTTTCAACAGATTCTATCAAATTTTAATGTAGTATCATAATGTTATATAATTTAGAAGCAAGCATGAGTCTTTCAGTTTGTCTTTCTTATTTTTGGTATAGCGCGTGTGCTTTTATGTTCACTAGGTACAAAGTAACAGGTATAAACTGAAATTTTTTATGTAAATTAGAATAAACGCGATTTTTTTATGGGGGGAACTGAAATTATGTTAATCTGAATTTGGGATAATTTTTTTTTGCTATTGTATTTTGTTTGAAAAGTTACGAAGAACAAGTTTAAAAAAATCTAATAGGTTAATTGGTTTTTGATTTTTTTTCACCATAAAATTTCCAATTCGAAAACGGAAAGTTTCTCATTAGCCTAAATCCTTTGGAAAAACAAAAAAAAGTATTGCTGATATTTTCAATTATTAATTTGAAATTTAATTGGTTCATGTTTATTGAAAATTAAAAAAAATGAAATCCAAATTTTAATTTCAATTCTGATCCAACAGGAAGGTTTTTTTATTCAATGATATTTAACCAAAATTCTTATTTTAAATTTATAGACATTTAATTTTTTTTGGGGTTTTTAAATTTGTACAGAAATTGAAGAAAACTGATGACAAAATTTTGTCAAAAATTCTTATTTTAATCCAGCGGAACTCTTATTATTTTCAATTTGAACAACTTATATGTTCAAAGCTTTATACGAGTATAAAAAATTTTTTGAACTAATGTTGATTTCCAGATTTTAAAATTAGATTTTTCTTAATCGTATAGCTGAGATTAAATTAGATTTTATTTCAATATTGTGTTATAGACTTTTACAATTTGCTTTCTGTATAACATTGAGATCTTTTAGAATTATTTTAAACTAAATTGTAAAGTATTTATTTTGCTATAGGATAACCATTGACTAATTAATCATAAAACAAAATATTTAGTATTAAAATTTAGATGTTTTGAAAACTAATTTAAAATTTACAAATTGAATGAAAAAATATTTAATTCAATAAAAATAAATTTCATAATTAAATGTAAAAGTGAAAATTGTTTTCAACTAGAAAAAAAAAGTTAAACATAACGTGAAAATGAAAATTTTAAAATTGATTTATGTTTTCACGTCTTTTCTATTTTTAATTTCAAAATAAATTTTCTTAAATTTTAAAATCATTTAATAAATTAAGTTAATTGTAAACAAAAGAAAGGAAATACGTACCGGAAAATTGAATTAATTTAATACAACAATTTTAATAAGTAATATTTAAATATAAAAATAAAAAATAAAATAATTTTGAATAATAAATGTAAAAATTAATAATTAAAAATTATTTCTAATGTGTAAAATTTTTAAGAAAAAATTATGGCAGATGATAATAAATTATTAAGTTTAAATATTAATTTTAATCAAATTTATGAAAATCTTCATAAAAATTTAAATAATACAAATAATAATAATAATCATAACAGTAATATTAATAATCACAACACAATTAATAATAACAATAATATTAATTCAATAATATTTCAACAACAGCAGCAGCAACAACACCAACAACAATTACAGCAGCAAGAAGAAGACAATTTTAATCTGGAACAACAATTAAAACAACTTGAATTACAACAATTACAATATCAACAATTTAATGGTGCGCTCCTGTGATATTACGTAAAACAGTCAACGGTATGGAAAAAAATAATGTTTTCATTGCACATACGTTAATATTTTTTCTTTCTCATTTTTTGCTTGTGTTTAATTTAATTGTTAATTTTATATTACTTATGTAAGTACAACACAAATCTAATTTTGATTATTTTCAGTTTAAACAAACCTTCTGTGTTTAAGAACATAATTATTCTTATTATTACTTTTTTAAATGCAAATATTATGGAAATATGTATGTGCGGTGCTGTATAAATTTTATTACTTATATGCGTAAATGTTTGTATATTGATTTTGAGATTATTCAGTGGTGACACATTATTTTGTCTTACAGCCCAATTTCTTAAGATTTAAATTTTAAAAACTCAAGTCTTTTGTCGGGACCGTGTTTATTCCTTTCAGCTATAGGATCTCTTGAGGTTCTTGGCATCATGATTTGGTATATGAATGCTATTTCTAAGTCAATCACAAATTTGTGTAAGTTACCGTCAATGTATTTATGTTTTAACATAGATGTCTTACATAGATAAATGGTCCGAGACATTACATTGGAAGAGGTTTGTTTTCAGCTAACAAAGCAAATTCTTTCGCTCAAAAAAGGGAAATCTCAATAGAAATATACATTGTAAATTTCATATTAGCTTTAATTTAACTTTATTAACTATATAGTTAAATATAAATGATCATCGTGCAATGAGAAGCTTTTCATATCCCCATATATTTCTTGTAAGCTGGTATAAAAATTATATTGAACTTATCCTTATCACGACAAATGTAGCACCATGAAGAAAGCATTTCTGGCTCAATAACAAAATCTTGTTGAGAATAGAATTTCAGTCATTTCATGACAAAATGTCAAAGCTTCATGTTTCAAGCTACTGACGGTAAAATGATGTGTTATCGCTGAATTAAAAATACAAACAAACATATTTGCAAACATATAAAATAGTTTCACATTTGTATTTCATTTGTAGAGGGAATAATAATAATGCAAATAAATTTAATGACGCATTTCCCTAAATATTTTTAATGGTGGAAATAATAAGAAGGTAATAATAAAAAAAAATTTAATTCACATCTTTTGTTTTCCAATTATAAATTACTTAAGTTTAGAAATCTTACAAATACATACAAATTGTCATATTTTTTTCTTTTCGTCCTGACTGAGTGAAAATATTAGAACAATAAACTTGCAATTCTCCTTACAGTTATGCAAATTTGTTTTTGCTTGTTGTGCTAACATTTTCGCAAATTTGATTTTATCAAATAAACATATTTTTTTTAATTTTACTTAAGATAACATTTTGAGTTTTTTTTTTGTTAATTTATTTTATTTACATATTTATTTATTTATTTGACAAGTACATTTTATAAAATATTTACATATTTTGATTTAAAATATAATTATTGAAGATTTTAATATTGAATAGCAAATAAATTTTTTTAGGATCAACTGGAAATTTCACTGGTACGAAATCGTACAATTAGTGATTTGAGGAATAAAAAAATTACATGTATGCAAACTTTTTCCTTTACAGGTGCCTTAATTTTTTTTTCACCTTTCATATTATATGATTAAATTATTAATTAATTAAAAATGAAGAACTATATTTAACTTCTCTGAATAAATTTAAAAATATTATTCTTAATATCCCGTAACATCCCGTAACATACTAAAATTGTATAAAATTAAAGAAGTTTAAATTGAAGAAGTGACAAGAGTGAATGAACTTTGCGTATGCATGTCAATGTTGTTATTTTTATTAGATAAATTTTCTTATACTTTAAAAATGTGTTCTTTAACTTTCGCCACCACTTTTAAAATATTGTCATACATTTACATGTTCATGATTAATAGATGTTGGATAACCTTATTTCGAGTAAATGGAATAGAAGAGAAAATCAACTTTAGCTCTAAAACTACAAAATTTGACCTTGACTAATTCGATATTTCTGTTAAATAGATTTCAATTTTTTTTGAACATTGAAATTATGAACATTATTTGTAATTATTGTCAAAGGTTTGAACGATTTATGTTTCATTAATTGTGTATAAAATATTTTGTCTTCAAAAATGTATATAAGTATATTTACATAGAAAATGTCATCAAAGGATAAGTAAGATAAACAATGTGCATACATAGTTTATTCAATACTTGTAAAGAATGATTTTTAAAATAGAATTAGCACCTATAATAATGTCTTTTAATATTCTGTAAAGTAGTCTGATATTTTCTGAGAGGAACCCTTATTTAGATATACAAGATTTAGATATTTAGATTTTCTATTCCAGAAAATTTTAATAGTTTGGTTTTGCGAAGAATTAACAATTTCACTTTTATAATAGGTTTAAGAAAATTGAATTTAAATACCTGTTTTAAGGTTATTGAAATCGAATATGAAGTTTGTAAAGTAGCACTTTTTAATTACAGTGAAAATATCACTTTTAAACATAATCAACATATTCCAAAGATTGCATAAATTTTGCATGAAAAAATAAAAAAGTATTGAAAAATACTTTGCAGTTTCGTGTGGAGTTAACTTGAGAGGGGGTGGAGGTGGAAAAAAAGTTTCTTCTAAAGAAATGAAAAAGAATTGTTAGTGTCTAAAAGCGGCTAAAATTTCAAACTCCTACAACTTACTGTTTAGAAGAAAAATTATATCAAAAAATGAAAAAAAAAATGGATTTTGTCTTTTTAATTCTCAATTATGCTGTACCACTGTAGAAGAAAGCCATTACTTTTCTGTGTTTGCAATACTCAAAAAATGTTTATGGTTTGTGAAAAACAAATAGTAAATCTTACGAGGGTTATAATTTTAGAGCGACGGAAATAGGTAAAATTTTTTTTCTACGGAAATAACTTTCTAGTGAAGATTTATTTACATATGAAGTTTCAGCTTACTATTCGAAGGGGTGTAGAGTGAAACTAATAAGCACTTTTTAAAAATTTTTTTTAGAAAACTGTTAAAAGAGACAGCGAAGTCATGTCAATGACGATTTTATTATTTGAAGCTTTATTCATCTCGTATTTCAAAACTTTGCGTTTAATAGCTAGCTGAACATAAAGTGCTCTTGAAATTGGTAAATTAGTTTCAAAGTTATTGGAAATCTTTTAAAATTGCTGTAGTTGTACAAAAATTAATTTTGAATTTTTAAAATTCGTATTAATTATTCACTAATTGGATTTCAGTTTAAAATTTCATTTACCAAATATTTTTTACAAAATTTATAATTTTACATAACTAAACCATTTTATATAACGAATTCATTTAAATTGTTTCATTAAATTAAGTTGAAAATTTCGTTAATTGAAATAACGTAATAAAAATATATATGAAAATATATGGAACTAACGCTTCATGCATATACGGTGTGTACGCATGACATACTCCATATGACCTAATTTACAGTCACTGAAATAATTTTATTTAATTAAAGAGAATCATTAAAATATAAAATAGACAGAAAATTAAGCTTAAACATCAATTAGCGTCAATATTTATGTACATAAATGTGTCGTTGAAAAGGCAATAATGAAAGATTTATAATTTGAAAAAATTCTGTTTTTAATTTTTGTTTTTTAGACATAAATAAAATTATAAATGAAATTTATTGAAAAGAAATTTTTTTTTTTGGTGAAAATTTATCGTCCAATTCGGCATTGGTTGATTTAAGGTATTCGTTGGACGTTTGTAATAGGAAATGTTATCCATTTTTCTGACATATTTCTTTGGCTGCATACAGGAATATCGATTGAAGCAGTATGACTTATAAATTTGTTTGATATACATATTTCACTTACTAAATAAACAGAACTTATGATTTTCTTTTGCAGAACAAGAATAGCTTTTTTGCAATATGAGAATAGAACGAGAAAGGTTTTTAACATAATTATGCTTTGGTGCTTGTGTTCTTTCTTACACTAATATCAATACAAATTGATTTCAAAGTCAAAGAATACTTTTTTTTTCTTGTTCACTCCACTTGGAAACATAGGGCTTCTATGCAGACTTTCTAACAAACTTGGTTCTGAGCCAATTGTTATTTTTGGATCCATGTGGCCTCAATTGTTATTTTTGAGGCCTATTTTTCTTGCACCTTGTGGGTTCTATTCTAGCGTTTGTTTCACCACGGAATTATTGTTTTTTAACAAGGTGTGACCAATTTACCTCCAATTTTGCCTTCTGATCTGTGTTAGAATGGGTTTTTGTGCTGTTAATCCCTACAGTTCTGTGTTGGTTATGCGCCTTGGCCAGAAGATTTTATAGATGATACGGAGTTACTTGTTGACATACACCTGTATTTTTAAATATCTTTTTTGTTGAACCTCTATGCTTCACTGACATATAGGATTACAGGTTTTACACATGCTTTGAAGATGTTGATTTTTATTTTTTTGCATAGTTGTTTTGATTTCCACATCTTGTGAAATGCAATCTTCTAATTACCTCCCAGTATGTCTTCAAGTGTCCTTCGGTTTATTTTGTTCTGCATGTCTCAGCGTGAGTGAACTGGCGATTACACTATATCGTCTACATAATCCAGATCCTCCAGAATACTTTAACTTTGAAATATGTTTTGGTATAATTTTAAATTTCACATAAGTCTCTAATTTAATCGTGTTATTTTTTTTCAGATTTTCATGTATAGAATTTCTATTATTAATAAATAAAGTTATTAATGTATACATTTAAATATTGCATTAAATTTGTAAAGTCGTTTAAATTCATAAAATCTGCAAAATCAACCCACTTAAATTTTAATGCTTTATGTGATTTCAAAATGAAAATGGTTCTTTGGTTTTCTCTTATATTGAACTCTCTTCAATATAAAATTGAAATATAAAATTGAAGAGTAGCCAAGCAAAATACATTAAAATAATTTAACTCTTCTCAGTCTCCTCCTATTTTCCATATTATCAGAATAAACCAAAGAGGTTTTGTAATTTTCTTTTAAAAAGTTTTTCCTATTTTGCTTAAGATTTTCATTAAAAATTTCA